TTGTCTGCAGAATTAAATATTTAATAAAAGTGCTGACATGGTGAAGGCAGTAAGGTTAACCATACTCCTAGTGGAGTGTGCCTGGAGCCCATCAGGAACAGCACAAGACTGCTGATAACAGAAGGAGACACAAATCTTTAGCCAGCTGGCTAGGGCGACACCAGAGACTTTATGGCCCATGGCAGCTGTGTGAAATGAAACAAGGAAAAAGTCAGAGAAAGAGAACTGATTTTTTTTGTCCCAGATAAACCTTAAAAGTTCTGATTTTGGATGCGGGAAAAAGATGATTAAAAGAACTTTTTTGTTTTGATGGGATTAGCTATCTACCTTCTGGTAAAAAGGGGACAAGAAATAAGTGAATCATTCTGAAGCAGACAAAGATTTCCTCTAATTGAGAGAGACCCCAGATCAATGGCAGGCCAACAAAACAAACATAAGGACGACCAAGAATAATGTTTTCCAACAAAGTTAAGTCTGAAAAAAATGTTTGTCCTAAGGGTTCAAAAAGGTTGAAATTCACAATCTAGGGCCTGTCTGTTACAGGAGAAGGCAGAGCTGAAGCCAGTTTGAGGAAGGCCTAAACGTAAGGGTTCTGCACAGAGAAGAACAATCCTCTCTCCCTGAAGAATCAAGGCTGCAAGCAATGAAGAGTTCAGGTTACATTACTTCACATTTTTATGAAGACCTAACTACAAAAAGCCCTCTTTTACACCTGCATCTATGGGATTATAACCCTTCCTATAGCACCAGAAGGGAATGGATTTTCATGTCTTTTGGACATCTTCCAGAATTCGCCAGGAATTCCTCCAGCTTGTGGGAGCCGCAGTCCAAAAACAGTAATTTAAAGAGGGTGCATTCCTCATTTCCATGTGACCTTTCATCACTGTTATATGCGCCTTTCGAAAAGGACACTTAAACTGATAGTACACAGCTTTTCCACAGTTGAAGTGTTGCTACAAAGAGAAACACAGCATCTATGGGATTATAACCCTTCCTATAGCACCAGAAGGGAATGGATTTTCATGTCTTTTGGACATCTTCCAGAATTCGCCAGGAATTCCTCCAGCTTGTGGGAGCTGCAGCCCAAAAACAGTAATTTAAAGAGGAGCTTTCCTCGCTTCCATGTGACCCTCCATCACTGTTATATGGGCCTTTCGAAAAGGACACTTATCCTGATAATACACAGCTTCTCCACAGCTGAAGTGTTGCTACAAAGAAAAACACAGATTCATGTACTTACCAAACCTTGTATGTGGGATACAAGATTTTATGTTAGTCTCACTACCTGTTAGGATATATAGAGGAAACCTCTCAAAGAACCCAGTGCGTAGTAGTTATTGGGCAGAGTCTGGATGGTACATTAACCCCAAAGACTGCAGATTTGTAGAAGGAGAAAAGAGGTCAAAGCTTCTGGATGAAAAGATCCAGTATGTCTGAATATCAAGATTCCTCCTGGGCCATCCAGGAGTTAACAATATAAGCACTATTTCCTCCCTGTTGCAGCTTACACAATACCCTGAATGTTGGTGAGCAAAAATGTATCAACAAAACCAATAAAGAGTCACATGAAACAAGGCAAGGGATTCTAGCAGTAAAACTTAGTCTCCTTTTTCTTTCCATCTCTGTCTGAGAAGCAGCAGCTAGTCATGTGCTCTCTGCTGTGCTGTAGCGCCACCATCCTGGATGGCCAAATGGTACTACTGCACCTTTGGTATTACCTGATGCCAGCTTGGCTATAGGAGACACAAAGAAAATGAGAAGAGTTCTACTAAGCCCTGCCAAAATTGGCTTGCCTTCTTAGTTGGAAAAACTCATCCCTCGGGTTCTGGGTGAACTCTTAAGACTGCATATTCCTAACAGTTTCTTGACCTGCCAGATTCCCAGCAAACTAGACAGCCAGATAGCTCAGACAGCATGCAGCCTCTTGCAGAAGGGATGGGCAGGGTCTGGAAGCTAATTCTACTGCTCCCCACTGGGAGCTACCTCCTCCCAAAAAACAACCATTGTCCTTAAAAGAAAAAACACCTAGATTTGATATGAACTTTGTTTTCAGGTTTGAAACAACAAAAGACTGGAATTGGTCTCCTCCAATTAAATCAAAGCTATGTCTCTTGATTGAGAGGTGCCAGTCCTTCACTTTTTCTGTTTGGGAAAGAAGTGGGTAAGAGGTATCAAGAGGAGGCAGGCAAAGGTGGAGGCACATGTGATTCACATTTCTGACTTATAGGCACGTGATTAGTGACACAGCACATGCTTGGCATATGGAGTCACATATTTAGTCCTTGCCTTTTAAATAGCAAGTTAATGTAGTAGGCATTGGTGGAATTTCTGAATTTAAAAAAGACATCAAAAATGAAAGAGATTCTTTTTATATTCTTGCGTTCTGTTGTTGATTCCCCAAAGAGAGACCCTTAAACATGAATGATTCACACAGAGGGGAACATGGAAGTTTTGTGTTATTTTATGTTTCTTTCACTTTTTGTCAAATTACCTAGGAAATTTTTTTCATCCAATAGTGGTTTAATGATCTGGCTGTAGAGCCAGAGGTTGGAAATTCAATTCACATTTGTGCCTCCTTGATAGGAACTGGACTTGATTAGCCATAGGGTCCCTTCCAGCTCTGCAATTCTAAGATAAGAAGACCTATAGGGAAATGGTATTTTTTAATCTGTAAAAGGAATGGATTGGTTAGAACTTAAAAAGAGTGCTCTTTGTTTCAGTTTTATTCCTTGTGCATGTGCAAACTTCTGACACTCTATCTTATACTCTCTGCCTGCCTGTACCTCTATTTTGGATCTCCCCCTTGGGTGCTCCACGGGACCCCCATCAGGGGCTAGGTGTTCCTCCCACAATCCTCTAGTGCACAGGTATTAGCAAATGCTAATACCTTATGAAGGTATGAGTTGGAATGACCCTTGCACCTCTAGTGCACAGATTGTGGGAGGAACACCTAGCCCCTGATGGGGAGCCCCAAAACACTGAGGAGCTCTCATGGTGCCCCAAAACACAGAGGAGCTCTCGTGGTCTCTGGCAGGACTGCAGGAGGTGCAGCCAGGGTCACCATGCCTTGGGGGGGCAGGGCACAGAAGAGGGTAGGAGGTGCAAGGGCCACTCCAACGCATACCTTGCAGGAGAAATACTGTACCATGGTCATGAAAGTGTTTTTTCCAGGGTAAGGCTCATCCATTGCACTTTGGGTGTGCTGATCCGTATGATTTCCCCAAATGTGGGGCACTCAATTGCATAATTTGTGTTAATGGGGGGGGGGAGACTGCATTTGTGATTTCCCTGGTCTTTCTAGAATCCTTTTCATCTCTTTTTTCCTCATCAGGACCTACTGCAAAGGCAGCAAGTCCTGGTGATGTCTTGTATTGCATTCTTACTCTTTTTCTCCCCAGTGATAAAGGATCAGGGCAAAAGGAGTCACCATTGTCAGGAGCCAGGGGGCTGCTTTGACTCCTTTCACCCTCTTTCTTTGTTGCTAGAGAGACAAAGAGGGGGAAGGTAATCTGACACCCACTGCATTTCCAAAGACAGTGCAGATGAGGGGGTTGCTTTTCCCCAATATGGTAGATTTTAATGCATTTGTATGGGAAACTGTGTTTTGCAAGACGATGTTTTCTATGGACAATTTTTGCAAGAAAGTTATTTCCCCCCCCCCATTGGAACGCATTAAATAGATTTCAATGCATTCCAATGGGGAATCGCGTTTCACAAGACAATGTTTTCACAAGACAGCGATTTCTGCGGAACGAATTAAAATCGTCTTGCGAGGCACCACTGTAATCTTATTGGTATCTATTTTTATTTTTGAAATTTACCAGTAGCTGCTGCATTTTCCACCCTCGGCTTATACTCGAGTCAATGAGTTTTCCCAGGTTTCTTTGTGGTAAAATTTGATGCTTCGGCTTATATTCGGGTCAGCTTATACTTCAGTATATACGGTATTATTATTCAAATTTTGATTTTGAGAAACAAGCAGAAAGGGGGGGGAAATCTAATATACAAATACATAAATAAACAGTGCTCCCAATTATTAGGACCATTTGGGAGTAACCACCTACGCCATTTACACTTGTGGAGTCCCATCTCCCTTCTAGAACTATATTGACTCTTGCAATGGGCTTTGCCTCTCTGTCTTTATTGATAAAAAATTGTTAAATTCTTCCCTTATATTTATAAATACATATCTGTCAATTACCCCCTCTTAACTTTTACGTCACATGTAAGCTTACCATTGATAGCTATAAACTAGAGATGATGGTATTCGTATATGAATATGAAACCCCCACACAGGTGGCAATAATGAGGGCCCGGCCCTCTGGGGCCCGACTATCCACTCACCCATCCACTGCTGCTGTGGGATCCGTGCTCCCTTCCAATCGCTCCAGAGCTCACGATCGACTAGCCATTCCTGGCAGGAGGGAGGGAAGATGAGCCTCCCTGCCAGGCTGACGAGTGGCTAGTCGACTGTGACCTCCATTGTGATTGGAAGGGAGTGCAGAGCCGGCTGCAGCAACAGACGAGTGAGTGGACGGTCCGACCCCAGGGGGCCGGGGCCTCGTTATGTCCATCTGTGCGGTGTATTCATATTGCATACAAATATGAATACCCCCATCTCTAGCTATAAACCAAGCTTCCCCATACCAATCACTTAACTGGAAATTATAAGCTGTTCTCCAGTTCCTAGCTATAATCTATCTTGTCGCTGCTAACTAGAAACTAACTATTTAGTTGTCCAGGATGCATACCTCCTTTTCAAATATTGATAAAACCACCATTTCAGAACATACAGCTCAAGTTTAGCTTGCTTATTTCTTTTATTTCCTTAAAAACCAAATGCCAACATTTCAATATATTCTCACATTTCGACCACATATGAAAATAAATACCTATTTTGGGCACCCTCTCCAGCGCATGTTAGAATAATTATTATATGTTTGATTTAACATCACTGGAGTTAAGTACTGTCTCCAAACTATCCCATAGAAACCGCTTACCTGGATCACCTTCTTCTAGGTCTTCAAGTTTCACAATAATGCAGATATGCTTTCGCAGTTGTCGAGAATTTGAGAACTTCCGGTTGCACTTCCGGCACTCCAAGCTACCTGGCTGGACTTCTGCCAGCTCTTCGCCTTCCTCGTGTACCAGGTTAGCATCTTCACTTGGAGGGCAGTTACTGCTTTCCACCAGTTCTTCATCAGTGTAAAATTTCTTGGTCGATCCCTTAGGCCTGCCTCTTTTTCTCTTCACGACAAGAAGTTCTGTTGAAGCAACATGAAGGAACAGCTGTTAGGTGGCTACGCATGGCTGTTCTAAGGTTTAAGCAGTATCTCCACTGTACTATGATCTAGCAATGACCAAATACATTCCAAGGATGTCAATAATACAAAAGGTTGTTCATGCATCCGAGTATCTTAAGAGTAACATTTCTCTCAGGGCTACAGACTAGGTGATGAGGTCCACATTCTTCTCTCTTTTGAAACAGCTTATGTATATGGCAGGTACAGCTTAGGGGAATTTTGTGGAGAAGATATGAGATCGGAGCACTATTGAATAGGGGGTTTATATATTAGAGGACACTTTTGGGACATTGAAGGCTTTGTTTAGTAAATTAGTCAAAGAGAATTTCTAGACAGCTCAGTGGTTTAGGTAGCTGACTGTGAAGCCTGGGTGTTGGGAGTTTGATTCCCCGCTGTGCCTCCTCAACAGGGAATGGACCCAATAGCTGACTGTGAAGCCTGGGTGTTGGGAGTTTGATTCCCCGCTGTGCCTCCTCAACAGGGAATGGACCCATTGATTACAAAGGGGGGGGGGATCCCTCTATCCCAGACTGTCATCTTCTCTCTCACACACACACACACACAAAATCAGATCACTCACAACAACTTAGGGCATCAGGATAATTTTAAAAAAATCTTCCAATGCAAAATTTTCCAGAATACTCATAATCTGCAGTCTTATGCTGAGAGGTCTCTGCTTTAGGATGTGCAGATGATTACAAAGGCGGGGGGGAAATCCCTCTATCCCAAACTGTCATCCTAAGTGGTCCACGAGTGAAGAGAGCTCCAGCTTTCCTTTATCGAACAGTACTAGTATCACTGGGGGAAGATCAACTAATTTCTGCCCCAAATTCAATGTTCTAGTGCAGCCACCTGTACAATCCTGATTCTATTATATCATGATGCGGCAGATTACAGGCAAGAAGCCTATGTTTAAAATAATGCAAATGTATGGGCAGGCAGTCCATTCTGTGTAGACTAATACCCACAGAAATGACATTTCAAGAAGAGATGGGAAAATAAATGATCACGGCCAAACCATTTTTTTTCACTGTTCTTTTAAAAATGCATTTTCATTCAAGTACCATCTAATCATACTGCAGTGGTCTATAATTTAATGTGCATCATGTTAGGGGGGAGGCGGGAAAGGAGAATGAAATGTTTTGCTAAAAAGGAAAAGAGAAATCACAGCCGCTGCGATGATAAACTTTGCTTTCATTACCTGCCTGAGGCTAAGTTAACACAGATTCGGGTTTTACACCACTTGGCTTCATTAACTTTTTTTCATAACTGATACAGAATACATAGGAGAACTTTTTTAAAAGGAATTTCTTGATAGAGCAAGAAGTAGCTGTACTCCATTTACATACTCAGAGAAGAACGACAGTGTTTTTAACATCACTGTTCTCACCCCTGTTTTTTTTCATAACTGATACAGAATACATAGAACTTTTTTAAAAGAAATTTCTTGATAGCGCAAGAAGTAGCTGTTCTCCATTTACATACTCAGAGAAGAATGACAGTGTTTTTAAGATCACTGTTCTCACCCCTGCACTTGGAACTGTTAACCTTTAACTGGCATCATATATTTGCATCAAAGAACAGATTGTAAACCTGATTTTACCTTTGCAAAGAATTTTGGGATTTCAAGAGCTTCAGAAATAGTATCCTATAATACGATCAGAGACTGTGTGACGCTCTTAGAACCATGATTTAACCGCACTTATAACCACAAAGATTACCTGGAGAACATGTATGAGTGACAGGGAAAGAGTATTTGAGAAGGCTATGCATTAAAATTCCACAGCAAAACAGCTCACACTTATTTTTTTAAAAAATATCAATAGCAAGGTTTGGATCACCAGCTACCGATATCCAGAGAGAAAGATGTGTTCCAGCCTGGATAACAAAGATGGACTAACGGCCTTATTTCAGTGTGAGCTTTCATGCATTAGAATTGACCCAAAATGGATAAATGCTCAGAAGAAAGTAAATCTACTAGGCTTAAAGGTACCACCAAGTAGCTTTCAGTTTCTGATTATCCTAATAGGGTTTTTGAAGCATGTGAGATGTTCAAGGGGTGGCTTACCATGGCCTTCCTACAAGTATTTTTTCATAGCTAATGTAGTGGACAGATCCTGAAGCTGAGGCTCCAAGACTGTGGCCATCTCATGAGAAGAGAAGACTCCCTGGAAAAGACCCTGATGTTGGGAAAGTGCGAAGGCAAGAGGAGAAGGGGATGACAGAGGATGAGATGGTTGGACAGTGTCATTGAAGTGACCAACATGAATTTGACCCTAATCTCGGAGGCAGTGGAAGACAGGAGGGCCTGGCATGCTCTGGTCCATGGGGTCACGAAGAGTCAGACATAACTTAACGACTAAACAAACAACAATGTAATGGACGCAACAGGGGATTTGAGCCCAGGTCTCCCGAGCCTTCGTGCACAACAGTTTGTCTGCTGCACCCCATTGACTCTGTCTACAATCATAAGTAGCTTAAAACTGCACATTCGCAGGTAGACTAGTGTCAAAGAGAGCAAATTCTGGAGTTGGCACATGGGACCTACTACGCTCACTATGGTTTCTGCAGTAGGACTGCTGTAGAACTAGATTGTCTGAAATAGCCCAGTGCAAGGTGGTCTCGTAATTGTGGAACGTATCACTCTACTGAGGACAAATTCATGTATATCTTTAGACCACATAACCCAAATTGAACTGCCACTGTGAACTTATTCTGTTATACAGTATATTTGAAACATTCTATACTTGGCTTATTCTACCCTGTCCAATAGTCCCCTTCCAACACGTCATCCCACTTGCCCTGATGCTCAGAGGTTTCCTCCATATTGCAGGCTTCCTTCAGCTCCTCCTGTGCATCATCCTAGGCCACTTATTTTTCTCAGTTCGAAGGATCCTCCCTCCCACCCATGTCTTCCCATGCTGTGTCTCCTGAAAAGTAAGAAAGACCTATAGATGGTTAGACTGGACAAGCTTTATAAAATATGGCTCTTTCTTAAAAGGCCACAGATGGCTTAGTTGGCAATTTTATCAATATTACCAACATTTCTCAGGGATGTTTTATAGTAATACGAAGTTTTCAGGTGCCTATGTTGTCCTTAGAAATGAAAGGAATTTGCCTTTGTCATTTTGCTTAGGCAGAATAAGTGTAATCAGCTAAATCGTTCAACCTTTGCTGCTTGGTTTCCGCTAGTGTTAATTTCCCATTCTGAATTATGAATAATCCCACTTCTGTCTTTGCACAAAATGAAGGCTATTAGAGGAGATGAATCACAGAGGATTTTTGTTCTGGCAAATGCTACGATCACATTGTGCCAATCAGTCTGCCAAACAGGCCAGAATATTATTCGTGATGGAGTGGCTTCTGTCCAAAGAAAAGTTTAACTTTTTTTCTTTCAGAGCTATCGAGTTCTCAAGCACCAAGCACAACATTTGCTCCGGCCCTTTTAAGGAGCTCTTCTTAGATTCCAGGGCCCCTTATCAAACAAGGATAAAACTCAAATGGATATAATTCAAAAACTTCTCACATTTTTCAGTCTGTGGACCCCTCAAATGTGGCAGGGGCCCCCACAGAGGGCCATACATCCCCCTGCCCCCTTGAGAATGGCTGATGTAGATGACAGTAGGTTCCAACACGGCTCCTGTTTTCGATTCTACAATGTGACCCTCATTATCTCCACCTGTGCCCATCTCTAGTTTATAGCAATTTCTTAATTTGGGGCAATTTGCCATCAAATGTTACGCTATTTGCACAAAAGGCTTTTGGCCGGTGGATGCCATTCATGTAATGGCAGTGTAATTAATTAAAATATAGCATATTGTTGGAGAGATCTTTAACGCATCCCTCTGCACATAACACCCAGAGATACAAACTACAGTAATGTCTTGCAAGGCGAATGCCTCATGCAACGAAAAACTCGCAAGACGAAAGCGGTTTGCAAATTTTTTTGGTGACTCGTAAGATGAATTTTTCTATGGCCGTGCTTCGCAAGACGAATGTTTTCTTCTTTTGTTTGTTTGTTTTAAATTGCACAATCATTAGTACCGCACTTTGCAAGACGAAATTTTCACAATATGACATGACTCACGGAATGAATTAATGTTGTCTTGTGAGGCATCACTGATACTATAGTTTCCCTTCGGTCCCCAGGCATTAGTATGAAGACACAACGGGTCAGTCCAGGAATTAAGAACAAACCAGATCATTGAGAAACCTATACCGATTGAGACCATTTCACATGCCCTCTGTTTCATACCTAGAACCAAATAAGCCACCATGTGCTTTAATCTCTGCTAGCAGAAGTAACTTGAGTTTATTAGCATACACCTACATACAGATGAAAGGCTTTTGAATTCGTGCTTTTTAAAAAAAAATTAAAGGAAGAACTGCTCAAAATGTAAAGTTATAGGCATTAAGCAAATACTTATAATTCATGAAACAAACAAATCTTCTGGCAGACTTGTAAAACCATCAAAGCCTCCTATGCCTTATGCAGAGACATTTAATCACGGTAGCTGGAAGATTTCGTAAATTAAGCAAAGACTTTGCTGCTGTCATGTATTAAGCAGAGACTCTGGCTATTTCGAGATGGAATCAAACGTAGAAATTTAAGACATAGAATAGCCGTAATAATGAGTTGTATTTTTGCTGACTTCTGCTAGTACCTTCTCCATTTTTATTTAGATTTGCAGGCGTCGTAAGAGGTCTGAGCGGAATAATGATGTCATCCACCTTAATCCCTTCTTCGGAATGCTTCTCAGAGAAGTGAGACACCAGCTCCGATTGGTTTGGAGAAAATAAGTTACAGAGCTTACACATGAAGATGGATCTGTTCCCTGGAATACATTAGAAAAGAGTGGGTTATTAACATTTTTCAGTTGTAGGAAGTCATCTGAAAAGCCATAAAATTATTCACGTTGAGCTCTTTTTGGTTGTTGTTCTTCCTTTGGCTCAGCCACTAAGAAGTAATGCATAATGGCTGGAGCCCAAAGACGTTCAGCAAGCCCAGCCAGAATTGTCTTACTATAGTCAAGAAATTGAGAGTCTTGAGAGTCCCCTGGACTGCAAGGAAATCAAACCTATCCATTCTAAAGGAAATCAACCCTGAGTGCTCACTGGAAGGACAGATCCTGAAGCTGAGGCTCCAATACTTTGGCCATCTCATGAGAAGAGAAAAGACCCTGATGTTGGGAAAGAGTGAAGGCAAGAGGAGAAGGGGATGACAGAGGATGAGCTGAAGCTACGAACAGGAATCTGACCAAACGCCGGGAGGCAGTGGAAGACAGGAGGGCCTGGCGTGCTCTGGTCCATGGGGTCATGAAGAGCCGGACACGACTTAATGACTAAACAACAACAAGTCACAAAATAGCTTCTTGTACCCATCCATCTTTGCTTTTCTCAACAGGCAATGGGGCATGGCTCTAGCATGGTTCACTGGATCAGAGTACATGGCCACAGATGTTTCTCAGTACAGAACAGAGATTGACCCAGTCCCCTGACCACTGTTGGGGTGCTCCTCTGTACACTTTCTATATGGCAGTATCATCTCCCACAGCAGCTCAAATGTTGATGAACACTCTATAACATCCCTTCTCAATGGGGGCATGGGCAGATTTTGAAGGAGGCTACAGAATGGAAACAATTCTTCACACGCCACTTTATAGTTTTTTACGACCATGGCCAAATAAAAGTTGAGAATGGCTGCTGTATAGGGTGAGTCGCTCAGCCACCTCTATAACAGCCATTCTCAACGGGGGCATAGGCAAATTTTGAAGAAGGCTACAGAATGGAAACAATTATTCACACGCCACTTTATAAGGCTTGTTTTATGACTTACAGAATACTGATTTAACCTATATTTCTTTCATATAGGTAGTTTTTTATGACCATGGCCCAAAAAAAGTTGAGAATGGCCGCTGTATAGGATGAGCCGCTCAGCCATGGGTAAGAATATGGAATCTTTGGCCCACTTATCATACAAGTAATTGCAGAAATTGCATAGCCCTGGATGAGACTTTGACTTCTCCACTTTGACCACCTACCACTTCTGTAGGCATTGCCTTGCCAGTTTTATTTCAGTCACTGTCCCATTCAACAACTTATGGCAATTTCATTCAACAAGTGGTGGGGCTTTTTGGTTATATTTTATTTACATTTATTGAGTTGCTGAAACTCCCACCAAGAGACCACCAGCATCACTGTTTTTTTTAAAAAAATGCAAAGTTGCCAGCGTGCAAAACCCATTGCAGACAGTGAAAACCACAGTCACTAGTGTGTTCCCTACGTCTCTCACTTCCAAGTTTCATGGCAATTAAAAAGAAAATCACATCACAAACCATATAGCTATTACTAATAATAATACTAATAAGGCTCCTCCTGTTCCCGTTAATAGCTAAACAAACACATGGGGCATTACTGATAAATCAGCTGATAATTAGGCTGAGAATCAACAGGGCAAAAACTGAAAGAGCCAATTTAGGCAAAGAATCAAATAAGCAATATTCCAAATTAAGGATGAATAGAATTGATGAGGAAGCAGTGAGTAATTCATCAGGAGAGAAGTCAACGGAGCAATTAATTAGACAACAAATTACATATGCAGAGAATCAAAGCTGCTAATATATTAAATATGCAGGTACACCAAATGGAAAAATATTCATCTTGCTGTTTGCGACCTTTTCCTCCTGCCCTCCCACCCTCAAACCGAATTTATTATTCCAGTATTTTTTTTAATTTGACAGGGGAAAAAACGATCTTTGAAAATGAAACGAATCAGCTGCTATCACCACACAGTACTTGCAACTTTCCTATTATCTATCCCACCTCGGGCTGGAGTTCTAGAGAGTCATATGTGCTGTAGGGTCACATCAGTATAATTTACTTCTCAATAAAGATGCCCAGGATGGCATTGCTACTCTGGCCATTGCTTAACACAAGCAATTTCAAAAGGATCAAAGACTGCAATTCACATTTATTTCATCGTTGAGGATCAGAACTATGCCGATAGTCCATTCTCCTGTCATGGCTGACGCACGGTGATGCACTCTGGAGCAGGAAGGGTTGGGCTAGACTTAGGCAGCTTAGAAAATTATCCTTTGCACGACAACATCCAGAATCCTCCAGCCCGGATGGGTACAGACCAAACTGGTTGGGAGCTTCTCAGACATGTCATTTTAAAAAGTAACCTTTCCAAGCCAGCTAGGCCCTATAGACTAGATTCAAGACTCCATGAGATACCTCTGGACTCAGCAACAGCAGAATTGGGACTTTTTTCCCTCCTCTCCCTGTAAGAGCCAGTGCCAGATTTTCTGACATCTGAGGCAGGTTTTTAGGGTGCATGCAGGAGAGAAGAGAGGTCCCTGAACCCAACAGGAGCAAAGGGATCTTCCCAAAAGTGTACTACTGGTTTTCAGACTGTGCTCCTAATCTGGTAAGGTAAAGGTAAAGGTTCCCCTTGACATGTAGTCTAGTTGTGTCCAACTCTAGGGCACGGTGCTCATCCCCGTTTCCAAGCTGTAGAGCCAGCGTTTGTCCGTAGACAGTTTCCGTGGCCACTTGGCCAGCGTGATTAGACATGGAACACCATTACCTTCCCACCGAGGTGGTACCTATTTATCTACTCGCATTTTTACATGCTTTCGAACAGCTAGGTTGGCAGGAGCTGGGACAAGTGACGGGAGCTCCCTCCGTCGCGTGGATTCGATCTTACGACTGCTTGTCTTCTGATCTTGCAGCACAGAGGCTTCTGCAGTTTAACCCTCAGCGTCACCACATCCCACCTCCTAATCTGGAGGGAGGGGCAAAATTTGAGGTAAAGGATAGCCAGTGCTGGATTTCTCGAATGACTCCCACTCTGTCCAAGAAGGTACTTTAGAATCAGCAATGAAAAGAGCTGCTCGGCTCTTCTGATCTTCTGAATAAAATGCCTCAAGATGGTGTGTGTGTGTGTGGGGGGGGGAATCCATTAACCACAGCTTTTTATTATTGTCATTTTCAGATTTATCCAATTCATAATCCGTGAGAACATAAGTAAAAAGCAGTCCTATCTTTGTACAACCGTGGCCAGGGGGAAAATGGTGAGTATCAGGTTCTGCTTTGTTTTTCTGAACCAGAGGCAAGGGGACATGCGTGCGATGAAAAAGGTATTTCTTTAGAAAACATGCAAAGGCACATTCTATTAGCCAGTGCAAAAATGCATGAAATATCCATGCATTAAGAAACACGAATGACCAAATAGGCAAACAATTCCCTGCTGAAAGGTGAGGAAAAGTCACAAAAGGTGAGATAAGACTTGAACAAGAAAAGAGTGCTGGTGGGACTTTGAGAAATGAACCAAAACAGACTGGTTTTCACATCTCTGTGTCTCCAAAGGCAGAAAAGAACCTTTCTCTCTCTCTCATCGTACTTCCCTCCTCTTCGGCGGAAGCAGCCTGAGTGCCTACATGCAGCGGTGCCTTCAGACTTCCATCCAACAGACTAGGTCGACGAGTGGGCCAGCCAACCACAATAGTAGGATGGTCAACCCACCGCTAGCCTCGTTGCTTTGGTCAATAGGCAAAAGGCCTCTTCACTGGTGGCAACCTTAGAATGTTTCATGTGAAGCTGCTTTTATGGTACTTAGTTTACCCAGTTGATATCTGCAGAGATGTTGACATAATATCCAATTGATTAACGTGGCCCAGAATCCTGTTATGTGCCATCAGGTTGCTTCCGACTTATGACAACCCTACGAATGAACTATCTCCAAAATGTCCTGTCCTCAACAGGCCTGCTCAGCTCCTGCAGATGCAAACATCTGGCTTCCTTTAGGGAATCAGATCATCTCGCATTTGGTCTTCCTCTTTTCCTAATGCCTTCTATATTTCCCAGCATTATTGTCTTTTCCAGAGAATCCTGCTTCCTCATGATGTGCCCAAAGCAAGACAACTTCAGCTTCAACATTTTTTTTCTTCCAGAGAACATTCAGCCTTAATTTCATCTAGGACCCACTTGTTCATCTTTCTGGCAGTCCAGGGTATCTGCAAAGCTTCTCCTACAGCACCACATTTCAAACAAAACACATTTCTCTCCCCCCCCAATTAGCTTTCTTAACTGTCCAGCTTTCACACCCATACATGGTAATTGGAAATACAAGAGTGTGTGGATGATCATGATTTTGATCTCCAGTGACACATCCTTCCATGTGCTGATCTTTTCAAATTCCTTCATTGCTGGCTTTCCTAGTCTCAGTCTTCTTCTGATTTCTTGGTTGCAATCTCCATAAGGATCAATGACTGAACCAAGGTATACAAAAACTCTAACTACTGTATTTCAGTTTCTTCATTGTCAACATTAAAGTTGTGTAGTTCTTCTGCAGTCCTGCCCAGAATCCTACTGGTTAGTTAAGCCAGCTTTAAGTGCAATGGCATAAATTGCAGTGGAGGGTAGTTGCTAGTTAATTGGTTTGCTGCTTGTATCCCTCAACTCACATCAGTATTTATGGAGACTAGCACATAACAAGGAATACAACAATGTACACAGCGTAATACAGTATTCTGCAATTCCATGCATCTCTATTGAGACAGACATCCTTTGAATTCTGCTAGGTTCACCCCAAAGAAAGTGGAGACAGGTCTGCAAAAAGAGAGCAAAAAGAGAGGTTACTTACCTGTAACTCTGGTTCTTCGAGTGGTCATCTGTGAATTCACACTAATGGGTTAATCTGTGCCTGCGCAGAGGTTTCTGGAATCACTCATTCGCCAGGACTGCCCCCCCCCCAGTACAAGTGGTCTGCCCGTCCTGGCTAGTGCCTCAGTTCCAAAAACTGCCCACCGCTGAATAAAATGAAACAGATGTG